GACGGCGCAGGAGAGGAAGGCCCTCTATGAGGTGGATTGATTCAGCGACTGGGATAATTGGGATGGGAGTGTCAGAGACAGTGCAAATGGCACAGGACAGAGCGGAGTTTAGGGCTGTTGTACATAGGGTCGCTTTGAGTCGCAGGCAACTCGACGGCACATACCAACAACAACAACATAATACTAGCAATTTTTAATATCATGAATGAGAAGAGTAAGAAGAAATACTTTTAGCCCATGATGAAGAATCATAAACAACTTAGAAAGATGAAACAAGCTTGCTTGTAGAAAGCAACGATAACTTAAAGCATTTTCTAAATAAGACAGGCTACAGCCTTCAATATGGGTTATATCTTAACATCAAGAAAACAAAAATTTTCACTTCACCACCAAGAATTCACATCATAATAGATGAAGAAAAGAGATAGGTTGCTAAGGACCTTTTTAAAGTGCTAAAGAGCAACAAGGCCAATTTAAAGACTAAGGTACACCTGATCCAAGCCATGGTGTTTTCAATTGCTTTGAATATACCCGAAAAGTAAACAATAAAGAAGTGATGTTTTTTAATTGTGGTGTTGATAAAGAGCACTGAATTACCATGCATTACCAAAAGAACAAACAAATCTACCTTAGAGAAAGTGCAACCAGGATGCTCCTTAGAGGGTGAAACTCTCACACCTGGAGCATTTTGTCGGGAGTGGCCAGTCCTTGAAAAAAGCTCTATTACCAGGAAAGGTGGAGGGGTCAGTGAAAAAGAGGAAGATCCTCAACAAAATTAACTGATACAATGACAGCAACAATGGGCTTGTTCATGATGGAAATCATTACAATGGCACAGGATGGGATAAGGTTCTGATCTGTTTTTTACAGGATAATATGAACCACAGCATCTTATCATAACAATAAAATGCCAGTGCTTTCACAAATGTCCAAAGGAACTTTGGAAACATGCTGTGTTATTCTACCACCAAAGGTCTAGTTTACTATCATATTACTGCCAGTGACTGTGTCAAAACTTACCAAGGAACTCATGCAACATTATTCAAAATGTGTGACCCTGGAGGACATTATGCCGAGTGAAGTATCTGTCACAAAAGGACAAACACTGCATAATGTCACTGTTGTGGAATGAGACTGACATCAGGGTTGGGATAAGAATGAGAAAAACTGGATAAATTGTGCATACTGCATTGAAACAGATGAGGGAGAGAACAGGTTAAATGAGATATATGATAGGGTATTATGGTTATCATAAGAGTCCAAGATGAAGGCTGACTGGGGAGGAGGGGGGAAATTGTATACCAATGAAGGAAATTTTTTTTTTTTAAATTTTCTTTTACTTTTCAAAGAGAAGTGCAAACTGGTGGGGAGGGCTGGGCATGGAGAAAAGTGCAACAATGACTGAATGGAAATCCAAAATCTCTGTAAATGTTCACTAAAATTAATAAAAATTTTTTTTAAAGTTACCATATGGTAACTTTTAAGATCATGAGCTTTCAAAGACAGACCTACAAAATGCAAGGAAATACATAAGTATCATCATTATGAAGATGAAGACTTGCCAAATGAAGAAAATAACATTTTTCTTTTAGAATTTAAAGATATCTTCAAATAGTTGGTTTCCTTTTTTGTCCTTTTTTTTATATTGATTGCTTACCAAGTCTGTATACATTGTGTTTCTCACTATTCGTCATTCTGTATTTTATATGTCATATTGTATTTCATGCAATCATTCTCATGCATTATGTTTTATAAAACTAATCACCATGGGGCTTGCCCATCATTACCCTGTCTTTTCACCAGGATCCTTCCCTAACCCCCTCCACCTATCAAACTGTGCAACCCTGTGTTTTTGCCCCTACTCATCCTCATTCCTCCACTCCCACCCCTTCCCCACTTGGGTTCCCATACATGTTTTACTAGTATCCTTCTATTTTTACAATAAGGGTCTCATGGAGTATTTGTCCTTATGAGACTGTGTTAGTTCACTCAACATAATGCTCTCCAGTCTCTCTCAAGTCTCCTCATAGAAACTCCATATGACCCAGCAATTCCACTACTAGGAATATACCCCAAGGAAATTAGATCTGAAACACAAGAGATGTGTACACCCATGTTCACAGCCGTGCTTAGTCACCAATTCAAGAACATGGAAACAGCACAAATGGATTGAGAAAATGTGGAACATTCACACAATGGATGACTGATTTTGAAAAATCTTCAAATAGTTTGTATAAACTGACTAAGATTAAAAAAGGCTTGGAAGCAGAAGTGGCATCCACTTCCAAAGAAAGCTTGCCTCTGGAAACTCTACGAACCTGGAGAAAAGATGAAAGGTTTGCATTCAAGACTTTCATACATAGTCGCTATGGGTTGTCTACAACACTTAACCACAATAACAACATGATAAAAAAACAGAGTTAAGCTAAACAGTTTTAAATATCCATACCATTGTTTGACTGGTAAATTAAAAGTAATTTCTTGCCAGTGTCTCTGAGCTTCATAATCACCAAACATAGGGGGTTTTCCAGCACCTGAGAAGGAAGGCAAAAAAGAACAAGACAATTTATATTAGCTTTTCAGTGATATTTTTAGATCCTTAGAAGCTTTTCTAAACAACAACAATGTAAGTTAAAGAGAGAACTCTAGTGGTTTAGCTGGTAAGGAGTTGCACTGCCAACCCAAAGGCAGCTGGTTTGAATCCAGCAGCTGCTCCATGTGGAAAGATGGGCAATCTCCTACCATGTGATTAATAGCTTCTGAAAACCCACTGCAGGATCAACTGCAAGTCAGTTCCAACTAAACAGCATTGAAAGATAAAATAGAAGAGAGATGAGAGAGAAAATTTAGAGAAAAGAACCAAAAATATTAATGTTAGAGTGATGATGTCTGAATCCTACTTAGTGATTAATGACCTTGGCAAATCACTGGCCCTCCCTTTGCCTCAGCACATTAAAAACAGGATCAATGTACATAACTAAGGGACTAGTCAAGTAAATAAGAAAGTACATATAAAATACCCCATACAGGACCTGGAAGATACATAATATTTACATAATAGAAGATATTGTTAATAATAATTAGTTAATAACATTCCTTAGCGGTTACTTTTAATCATGAGAAAAACTCAACTATAAGGCCCAATAGGTATCATAAAAATAATAACGAATCTTATCATTTACAAGGACCTTTTACAAACCAAGTATAATTTAACATAATGTCAAGTACAGACCCCAAAACACATTAGTACATCTTACAAAGGCATAACGTCGATCAAAGTTTGCTCTCAAATTAGTTCTTTTTTTAGAAAAATCTTTATAATTATTTAGGGTTGGTGCAGTTAATTTATTCACCTTACTGAAAGGAGATTTGGGTACAAAGTTCTTATTTTAAAATTGTAAACAAGATAAATGCTATATAAATGCTAAAATTTTATAATTTAATAGAACCTACTAGGTGCCAGATATTACAATCCTATGTTGTGTTGTTAGATCCACAGTGCCCCAATGAACAACATATCTGACCCCTATCCAATGCTGTGCCATCCTCATCATTTCTGACATACTTGAGCCCATTGCTACACTGTCAACCCATCTCACTGAGTCATCCTTGCCTTCACTGACCCTCATCCACCTTTCCAAGAATGACCTCCCTTTTCCAAGGAAGAGTCTCTCCTAACAATGTCCAAGGAAGTGAAAAGCAGCTTTGTCATCTCTGCCTCCAAGGAACATTCTGGCTGCACTTTCAAGACATAGCTTCAGTGCTGAAACAGAGGAGGGAGAAAACTGTTTAAAAGAGATATATAACTAGGTATTTCTGTCATCACAGGAGACTAGAGCGAGGGCTACATGGTGGAGGGGACCTGGGGGAGGGTTTGTAAAACAATGAAAGAATCTTTTCTTTTACTTTTCCATAATTTTTGGACTCATGTACTTATAACTTGTTAGTCAAATTTGTGCCTTCTAGGTTGCAACACCCCCATGATACATCTTCAAGGATATGAACATGTACGGCCAAGCACAATCAATAAGAGTGCATCTAAATCCCAAAATCAATCTCCATAATAGTCTATGTGTTTCCTACTGCCAAAGGGGCCCTTTAGAGTAGTGAGAGAAGATCTTCACCCTGAAACCCACAGTGCCCCTTTTCAGCAGGAAGTAGCTAAGAGAATACGCCATCCCCTTTTCCTTATGACTCAGGGTGAAGTCTCTCTCAGGGAGGAGTGATAGGGAATGGCAAAGGACACACTGACAAAGAAGATTAATCAGAACTGGCTTTGACAAGCACTGTGGCATTTGGACAAGAACAAACTGGGAGGAGGGTAGAGAGAATAGTGCAACAAGGAATGAATGGAAACCCAAAATCTCTGTAAATGTTTATGAAATTAATAATAATAATGTTAATTTAGAAAAAAAAAGACATAGCTGTTTGTTCTTTGGGCAGTCAATGGGACAGTCAATGCTCTTCTCCAACATCAAAGCTCAAAGGCATAAATTCTTTTATCAGCTTTATTCACTGTCTGGTTCTCAAATGCATAACAAGTGATTGAAAAGACCACTGCCTGAATCAAGTGCACCTTAATCTTCAAACTGACATCATTACTCCTCAGCAATTTAGAGGAGACCCTGACTACTGACTTTCCCGATGTATTGTCTCCTAATCTCCTAAATGCTTGTACCAAAAGTGTTGATTATGGATCCAAATAAAATTAAATCATTAACAATTTTAATTTGTTTTCTCCCATCTATCATGATAAATATGAGGATGGACCTGATTATGAGTCCAATAGTGAGAATTTTTGTTTTCTTGATACTGAGATATAATCTATATTGATGGCCACAGTTTTTGATCTTCTGCAGCAAGTGTACTCTTCACTTTCAGCAAATAAGGCTGTGTCATCTACATAGAGTCTTCCTCCAATACTGTTAATCAAATTCTTCATAAGAGTTCAGTTTCTTCAATGTTTGCTCAGCACTGAGACTGAACAGGTATGGAGAAAGGATACAGCCCTCACATACCTCTTTCTTAATTTTAAACCATGAAGTATGCCTTTGCTGAGTTCAGACATTAGCTTCTTGATCTAGGGGTAGGTTTCACACGAGCACAAGTTAAGTGTTCCAGATTACCTTCTTCTTAACATTAGCCATAATTTGTTATGATCTACAGAGTCAAATGCCTCTGCACAGTCAACAAAGCAAAAACAGACAATCTATGGTATACTTTGCTTTCAGCCAGGATCTATATGACATCAGCAATTATATCTCTTGTTCCACAGTAGGTATTACTGTCTTTACTAACAGAGCGTAAAATAGGATCCCTACAAAAGTAGGTGAGAGTTCTGGTGGTCTAGTGGTAAGGAGTTGTGCTGTCAACCTGAAGGCACCTGGTTCAAATCCATCAACTGCTCAGAAGAAAGATGGGCAATCTCTTCCCAGGCAATTTAGCCTCTGAAAACCCCTAGAGGGTCAGCCATGAGTTGGTTCTGACTATATGGTATTTAATAACAACAAAATAAAGTAGGAAGGGGAAGTCTGGTGGTGTAGCTGTGGTGTTGGCCTACAGCAGGCTTTTTTTTAGCAATTACCTTAGCCCTCTCAGGTCTCTACCTAACTTAACTGTAAACACATGGTCTTACAGATCAACAGCTGCAGAACTAGGTTAAGAGAGTGCTTCCCACACTGAGCAGCAAGACCCAAGGGAAACCTCAAGAGCTGGTGAGTGTGAGACCCTAGTGATGGTGGTGAAAAGACTGTGGCATTACTGTGGGAAAACTGTGGCAAGGTATAACTAAACCTGTACTGATTAAGGAAACCAGAGGATTCTTGCATTTGTGCTGCTGAACTGAAATTTGGTTGACTGAAAAGCTGTCTTTCACTAACTGAGGAATTGTGCCTTGTTACTGTTGAACTAACCCTGGATTTGCATTGGGTGATATTCCATGCCTCCCCAACTCTCCAACGTGTTTCCCTATTAAACCCCATTCTCAGTACCACAATTGTGAGTTTATGAGTCAACAACGAATAAACAAACTTCTTGCTGTTGATGTGGCTTTAGAGCACCATCGGGCTGGGCTACGGGCTCTTTATCTGCTTTCTGCTCTGGGGCAGTGAGGGGCTGCCCTTTCTCTCACTCCCTTTGGCCCTTTCAGAAAGATGTTCATGGCCCTGTGCTCCCATGTCTTATTTTCTGCTCTAGACAGTAGCCCATAGGGAGTTGTGCTGCTGACCCAAGGGAGGAACTTCAAATCCATCAACAACTCAGAGGGAGAAAGATAAGCAATCTCCGCATCTGTGATTTACAACCCCAGAAAATACTAAACAGCTAGAGGGTTAACTAGGAGTCAGTTCAGATGCGTCCTCAATGAGACAGTGTAATGAGATTCTAGATTTTAACTCAAATTGCCACTATAATCCATGCTCTCAGCTTCTATTTTGTATTGGTTGAGTAGGTTACTTGCTGGATGTTGTTATGTGCCGACAATCAGAACCAACTCATAGTTCACCCGCTGCTAATCCACCAGTAAGTATTCAGAGGCAGTAAATCTCAGGAGAGGAGACTGCTACTCTTTCTCTATTAGAGAAGCTTGTAAATTCAAACCTCATGTATTTGGGTTGACAACACAACTTTTTACCATTAAGCCACTAGGGTTCCCAGCTCATCTAAAATGACATAACATAATTCCATTTAGTAAACAATAAATACCTACTATTTGGCTAACGACTGATTAAAAAATTGTGAGAAGGCCCAAAGAGATACAGTGAAATCAGATTTTCCACTCTTAAAATAAGCAACAAAAAACAAGTTGTGATGGGAGATCAATTACTTTATGCCACGATGCCCATCAATTGGTTCTTGCCCCAAAACATCTCCAAGTCATTCACTGACTTTGAAATTTTAAACCTTTGCTAACGCTGCTTGCTCCCAGTCATATATCTCTACCATTAACTCATACCAAACCTTCAAGAATCGTCCTAAGTCTTCCATGAGATTTTCCTTATAAATTAAAAATTTTATCATTAATTATTGACTGCTTATAACATTTATACTTGCAGCATCATATATTTTGATGACTGCTATTCTTTTATCACTCTTAACAAGTATTTTAATTCCTTTGATTTTTGGTAGTCTAAAGGAAACATATTGTAAAGTGTATACTACATATTTGCATTAAAATTGTGCTTAATTAAATTGAATGAAAGGCTAATTTGTTAAAAGAAAGAAAAAAAATGCCCCAATGAATTCAATGCATTTTATAGGTAGGGGTGGGGGTTTGTAGGTAGGGGTACACACGCATGCACGTGCATCTTCTAAGGAATACAACCATTGTCAATAATTTATTTTTGAGGAGAAAATAAATTAGTTTTTCTTTTTTACTTGTAGTTGTTTGTTTCTATTCTACTGGGGATAAAAGGGAGGATCTTCAGTAATTTCCTACATCTAAAAAATTCAGCTATCTAAGATTTTCTGAAATGGCTTCAGACTTGTGTCTAGACTTGTGTGACCACACTGTGGTCAATGTGGAAGAATTTATTAC